TTACAGATATGCTCACTCAATACAAACCTAACAGATCACTCAGATCATTAGGATCATATAAACTAGAAGTTCCAAGAGTTTAGTCAAAGCAGGGTGAATCAGCTTTTAGCCACTATGCCCCTCACTGCTGGAATCAGCTTCCAGAAATGATCAGATGTGCTCCAACATTAGGCACATTCAAATCAAGACTGAACACACATCTGTTTAGCTGCGCCTTTACTGAATGAGCAGTGTGCTGCGTCCGACAGATCGCACTATTATGTTTTTCTCTTCTTCTTCATTCTTTTATATCACATTTTACCTGTTTTTATGTTTTGTTTTGTTTTGACGCATTTTTATTATTTGTTTTTATTTTTATTTTACTTGTTTCTTTTATTCTTGTTTATGTAAAGCACTTTGAATTGCCACTGTGTATGAAATGTGCTATATAAATAAACTTGCCTTGCCTTGCCTTACACTTAAAGCTGACAGGTGCTTACACGGTCTTAACTGATGCTCCACACACAAAAAGTTAAAGTTATGTGTGCTTCAAACTGCGAAAACTAAAAATGATTCAATGAAATGGCCAAACAATGCTTTTAAAAGAGACACCGTTTAGAGCAGGTACTTCTCTACCTGTATCACACTGTCATACTTTTACTCCTCTTGCCTTGTTCAGCCCTCTGCATGCTGAAGATGCTGCTCTCTCTGTGTTCCTGAAGGCCGTTTGATGCTTCAGATGATGCTACAGTCCTCTTTGCACACGGTGGGTCTGTTGCCATGGCAGCCACGAGGAGCTCAGCATCCGACAGTAACCGTGGCGACCTCGGCAAGAGATGCTCTCTATCTGTTACCATGGCGAACAGCGCGAGTGTAGAAGCACACAGTCTGCCTGTTCACACTTGAACACACACAGTTTCAAACGCTGATGGTCATGCGCTATGAAGAGCTCAGCTTTCAGTTTGGATCACTTGTGTGTGTGCGTTTGGGATGAATCTGATCGCTACACATTCCTCTGCTCCTCTGTGTCGTTTACATTTCTAAAAGAGTGTGCTTCACTTTCTGTCTCGACACGCTTTACACACACTGATGTGTCTGGAGTCTGTCATTCAGCACTTCAGTGTGTGATGTTTCACTCAGTCTCACAGTTTATACAGGGATAAACACTGAGGCGCCGTCCACACGGGTATTTCTAAAGCCTCAGTTATATCTACACCGCAAAATCATGCTTTATTACCCCGAGGTTTAGTCCTGTTTCATGTCTCAAACCTCTTAAATCAAGAAGCAAGACAAGCCAAACATGTAGTCAAAATGAAGAGAGTTTGGGGACGCAGTGGCGCAGTAGGTAGTACTGCGGCCTCACAACAAGAAGGTTGCTGGTTCGAGACTCGGCTGGGTCAGTTGGCGTTTCTGTGTGGAGTTTGCATGTTCTCCCCGTGTTCGCGTGGGTTTCCTCTGGGTGCTCCAGTTACCCCCCCACAGTCCAAACACATGCGCTATAGGGGAATTGATGCTACATTGAACTACAATGGCTGTAGTGTCCGAGTGTGTGTGTGTGTGTGAATGAGTGTATATGGGTGTTTCCCAATACTGGGTTGCAGATGGAAGGGAATCATTCATTTTCTTGTCGGCTTAGTCCCTTTATTATTCCGGGGTCGCCACAGCGGAATGATCCGCCAACTTGTCCAGCAGGTTTTTACACAGCGGATGCCCTTCCAGCTGCAACCCATCTCTGGGAAACATCCACACACACATACACACTCACACACACACACTCATACACTACGGACAATTTAGCCTACCCAATTCACCTATATATGTCTTTGGACTGTGGGGGAAACCGGAGCCCCCGGAGGAGCTGGAAGGGAATCCACTGCGTAAAACAAATGCTGGAATAGTTGGCGATTCATTCCACAGTGCTGACCCCTGATTAATCTAATGTATATGCACAAATATATTACTTTAAAGCATCCAGGAGAAGATATGAATGAAGAAAAGAGATCTGTGGGGGGGTCAACTCATTTACAATGGTCACTGTATAGAGATATAGTAAATATACACATAATA